CCTCGACAGAAACTTTTATTTCATTCCCAACTTTTCGTTTTCTTCTTTATCCGCGTCTCCGGACCGCTTTTTGCCCGTCCCGAACCTCCTCCTAAACTACTTGCCCGGCTCGTGCTCGCCGACGTGCGGCTCCCGGCGCCTCAATGGGATTATTAGCGCATTAGCGCGAGTCCTTTTCAAACGAAACGTTTGTTTTATATTGCCGTTCCTCTTCATTTTACTTTTCATTTTATTTTCCGTTTGCTCCCCTCTCATCTTTGAAAGGAAAGCCCCGCGAGAGAGACAGAAGGCGAGCTCCTCTGCTTTACCCCCCGTATTGTTCCCTCTTCTCTAAATGTGCCGAGAGAGAGAGAGAGAGACAGGACCGAGAGAGGTTCGGTGGGACGTAAAGGGAGCGAGGGTGGGTGAGATTGGTAGAGGCACGCGGGGGCGGGTCGTTGTGTTGAATCACATCCGCCCACGTCGGCGCTACTCCTCCGACACGACACCCCACGTCAGAGCGAGCGAGTCGTGCTGACTCCGCCACCACCAAGCACCACCACCACCACCAAAGCGCGGCGTGGCTTGGTGTGGCGGTCGCCGAGCCGAGCACGCAGAGAGCCCAGCCCTTATCAACAGGTACACGAGACGAACCAGAACCTTTCCCGAACAGCTCTTTCTTCTCCCTCGCCTCGCCCTCTCGCGCGGAGACGACGACGCCGATGCCCCCTTCCGGCTCCGCTCCTCTCCTTTTCTTCACTAATGGCCCCACCCTCGGGACAACCCGCAGAAGTCGTAGAGAGGCCCACCCAGGACGTGCTCAGACTCAGAATTGACAAAGAATGGAAAGCACATACACGTTGTTAAAAAAAAATTGTTTTCGTGCTCGTTGGTCTGTGTTGTCTTTTGTTGTAACGAAAGCGTTGCACTGCACAAAACAATTTAGTTAGCGTGTCGGTGTGTGCTTTCTTCGCGGCAGAGTCCGGTGCTGCGCCGCAGGATATCCGGAGGCGAGAGAGAGAGGGAGGGGGGGGGGAGAGGTAAGGTGTAATGTAGATAGGTGGGCGCAAGCGCTCTCATTGGTGGATCTGACATGCGCAGAACCGACTGCGCATCTCCATGTCAACCACTGTCAGGCCAGCGCGCGCGCCGCCGAGTACTTAAAAGGGATTAAGGAGCCAGGAAAGACCCGGCACCGCCCCTCCG